TCTCCTGTTCATGATTGTTAGACCTGTTAATTTACTACTCGCTGGTCCATGCTGTCAGTGGTACCGCCCGAGCCTAACCGGCCAGAGATATTTTGCTAGTAGCTGCCAGGGCACCTGTCCCATCGTGCTTTGGCACTCTGGCCGTTGTCACTCCCACACCGCGATGAGGTGCATGAGTCGGAATTTTGTGGGAGTGCAAATGCTAGCGGGCGGAAATCCAGTACCGTAGTACTGATTGATGAGAACAAACTGGTGATCATGCAAAGAGCGAAGGAGCAAAGAGTGTGCAAGGTCGCCTTCCAAGATCACATTCGAGCACTCATATTCGAGAACGAACTGGATTAGCAGATTGAATTTCTGCCTTTTGCCAAAGAGAAGATCGGCTGGCATATGGCTCGCATGAGCGGCAACCATCTGACGTCCTCTACAGACTAGTTTCCGCTGGACCAGCAATGCTCACTAGATCATCCGCACTGTAGAGGCATGATGGTCAAATTACTTGGCGAGCTTAGGTGGAGGCAGGAAGTGGAAAACAATGGTTATTGAAGGAGCGCCGACGCGTTCACTACGTATCCATAACGAGAACAAGTCCGGTAGCGGTTAATACCGACTAGAAATAAGAACAGGACAGATTAACTACTTAAACTAATATTTGGAATTAATGAATCAGCTGCCATATCTTGCTGCATGTCGCTCTATCTTGCAATCGGGATATTATGACATCTTCCCATGAAAGAACTTGTCATCAAGATGGATCAGCGAGGGTTAGCAGCTTCATCCGTTGAAGCGTCGTCTGAAGCAAAAACCTGAAGTCTGTACTAATTAAATAAGCGTGACAGTACCAGCGGAGCAATATTAATTAAGCTATCATATGCCACGGACGCTCCTACAAAACGACGGTCGCCAGCCACTTGACCCCTATGTCGCGTATGTTACACTGCATTCTTAGTTGAACCGCAGATTTAATCTGAAATGCATCTGTGCGCGACGTAGGTTGTCTCGCTGAGTGGAGTTAATGGCTGCAGTCGGCAGCGTTATCCTTCAGGGATATTCAGAGGATCCGTGTAGATGCTGCACACGTTTTTGTTTGGTGAGCCATACCAACCCAATACAACAATGGCTTCATGGCAGCATAGCTGTATCCCGTCACAGGTACAATTGGCGGACGTCTTCATGCTGGTGTCTCATCAAGCAATGACTATTTAGATGTACCCCGGCCAACTAAGAGAATTGGGACGATGCAATGCTCCGTGAAATTTGGTCTTTAGAGTTTTTATTTCACATGCTCCAGCGTATGAACATACTATGATAATAGCATATGTAGTAGCAGAATTCGCAGTCGGAACGGTTGTGGTGAGAAGTTGGCGGATAGATGGAAAAATAGATGGAGGGATGGCATAATCATTGTCGTTTATGGCCTTCGATACCTTTCGTCATTGCTTGCTCCGGGCAGGCACGGTCTTTTATGTTGATCTCCTACGAGGAAGTAGTGGTGAAAATTGCTAAAATTATGTACTCCTATCGTTATGCTTCAAGCATGTTGAAGCCCTGCAACCTTATGTGCAAAGCTTAAATAATTGATTCATCCTCACCTGTCCTAGCTTCGCTATGGTGATTTTCAAAAGCCAGTTTTTGTGTATGATCCATTGATGTTAGGTTGTTCACACCTGTTTACTTTATTGCATTGTGTTGGTTGTTGTCTTATTGAAAAAACAGCAAACGGTTTATTTAGGATGTGTAACAGAGTGGTTTGTCAGGGTGATAATCTGACCGATTTTCTTCAGGAGACCGTTGTTTCAGCTAGAAGGCCTTCCGGCCAATGGCCCATTGGGCCATAGGGAAGGTCGGTGCTGTTATGCGCAAACCGGATCGCCGACAGTTGTTGATCACTCTGATACTTTTTGTTGCATGGAGCTCATTATACCGCTTTTAGCCGTATTCTTAGACTGATTCTGCTTGATCAC